CTCATACAGTGATGTTGGTGAATTGTGCCCCTTGTGACCCTTTCACTTGCTGCTCATACAGTGATGCTGGTGAATGGTGCCCCTTGTGACCCTTTCATTCGCTGCTCATACAGTGATGCTGGTGAATGGTGCCCCTTGTGACTCTTTCACTCGCTGCTCATACAGTTATGTTGGTGAATGGTGCCCCTTGTGACCCTTTCACTCACTGCTCATTGTGCGATTATAAAGGATCCATAATCTGCTGATCTATGTTAACAAGCTCCAAAGCACAGATACAGTTAGTGTGCAGGCAGATTAAATAGTCTGATATTAAAAAGGTCACAGTATGACAGGGCCATATAGTTTTTTCCTTATTTATTTATATAGGAGTGAAATCACCAAATCAGTAAAAATTTGGAGCAGGTTTTCTTGGGTTTTACAGTACAGTCTGCTCCAGAGTTGAGGCCACCTGACCTCAAGTCAGAGTTCTTTGGCCCAAAAAAAGGCAGTCTGCCATAAAACCCGCCTCACCCACAGCTTATCTGTGCTCCTGACCTTTCAGTGGATAAATCCTTTCAGGTTTCTTGGCTTCGATCACCTTCATCTCAACAGTATTTACAGCTGTAATTACTGCCTTTTACTCACCTACATTAACCATTGTGGAGAGACTTTGGGTAGAATAAATCATTAATGTACTGTTTCTACTAGATTACCTAACTGACTTTGGCAGCCTGCAGTTTGAGATGCTAAATAGTAGCCCCGCTGTTTCTAATTTTGTTCAATAATGCATACTGTAGTTATGCTGTTTCCCTATTAGATAAATGAAATGGTGGTTAGCACTGTCAGCTCACGTCTCTGGGGATGAGGGTTTAAATCCGATTCTGTGTTTGTGGAGTTTTTCAGGGTCTGTCTGTGTCTTGCTGATCCAGTTCCCTTCCACGGTCCAAAGGCACACCAGTAGGCTAAATGGTGTTTCTAAATTGGCCATATTCTGTGTGTGTGTATGTTCCCTGCAATGGACTACCATCCTGCCTGGGGTGTACCCCAGCCTTGTGCCTTATGCTGCCTGGGACAGGCTCCAGCCCCCCTCCCCCCACAACAAGGATAAGTGGTTAGAAAATGGATTGATAATCATAAAATAAACATTAGCAAATTCAGATCTCACCAACCCAGATATGTACAACACTACCATCTTCTGGTGACAGAATGTGTCCATTAACAGCAATCTTATCAAAAGGCTGCACCTTGAAATCTATTTTGTCTTTAATTTTCCATTATCCTAATTCCAATTTCATTTCTGCTAGTGTGAAGGGCTACGATCGCTAAGCACTCTCATGTTTATTACTGTACCAGATGTACTTGACAAGTTCATTGAAAAGGTGCAAGTGCAAAGCTATGGGTGAAAGGCAAGGAATGACCCAGCATGGGGTGCCAAGCCATTGCAGGGCACCCACAAACACACACACACACACACATAAACATGCATACAAACACAAACACGTAAACATGCACACATATACACACACACACGTAAACATGCACACATATACACACACACACACACGTAAACATGCACACACACACACACACACATGCACACATACACACACACACATAAACATGCACACACACACACGCACACACACACACACACACACACATACAGGGACACACACACACTGGCAGCAACCCAGAGGGGTCTGACATGTCACTAGCAGCGACCCAGAGGAGCCTGAGATGTCACTAGCAAGTTTTCTACAGCTGTCTCTGCAGCTGTCACCCAGATTTAACACTTCCCTTGTGCAATGAAGCCAGTCACGTTCAGCCAACATGTAATTCCCACTTACAGTCAGCAGATGGCAGCAAGTTATCAAGTAAGCATTAAACATTTCTTATAATAGTCATGTCACACGCGGGCAACACTAAGACCAACAGCAAGGACCGCATCACTCACATGCTTCCTGAGTTATTTTATAAATGGTTAATAAAAAACCACTGAAAAAATATACCTGCGAAAATATAGAATATATACATAAGTCCTTTTGGATAATTTGACACAACAATAGGAGAATGGTACAAATGCTGAACTTTGGGCAATGTGTGCCTCCCTACTATTCATGTCATTTTATTGCATAACGCCTCTAATTCTTGAAGTGGCTGAAGTACACTGGCCTTGGTACCTCAGTACTCACATCCGTCTACGGGGCAGGAGGCCACACAGCATCTGGACCAGAACCTCCAGACCGAGGAACAGCTTTTTCACAGAGGCCGTGAGATTGATAAACTCTGCGTCTCGGTAAAAGAGTTATTAGTAGGACTACTATCATATTACACACCAGGGCATCACTGCAGTTGTTAACTTCTGCAGTTTGGCACTTGCTATGAATTCCCTGAATTCTCACTCATGTTACAACGCTGCTAATCATCAGTGATAAATGTCAGGGCATTGCTGCGATAGTTAACCTCAGTGCTGATGATTACTGTGATTTTGGACACACACGTTACTGCTTCGACAACCAGTAACACATGTACTTTATTGTGCACAGACCTCAATAATCTCTACTACACTCACACTTGCTCACTTTATATCGATTGTTATATTCTCTAATGTTACTTATCTAAATGTCATTATTCTATTTATTATTATTATTATTATTATTATACCTCATTTTATTTATTGTATGGCTGTTTGCATTTAATTTCTATTTTATTATTGTTACTAAACCAGACCTGAGTACCTCATTTTGTTCCATTCATGTACAACATGTTCTGGAAAGACAACAAAACATACTTATCGTTATTGTATGACTGTAGGTTCAGTACAGAGAGGACTCCTGTTATATCCAACTGTAAGTACCTGTATTGAATCTATGAAATTATACCTATGCAGTTGCAAAAGTAAAGAGAACTGCAGTGCTGAACTGTGAATATGCAAATTTGTGCGTAACAGCTCTGCTAAATAAATAGAAATATAAATATGATAAACTTTTACTCCCTGAAACAGAAAAGTCAGTCTGTGTAGGCCATGTCATCGCAATCACATCTTAACAGCTGGAACTGAAATATAACTGAAGTTACTTTTTTCTTTATTTTATTTATTAAATAAAATACTTTACTTTAAAATACTTTACTAAAATACTTTAGATTCACAAAACTATAATATAAATACATGTAGTAGTAGGATTGGTCAGATGCCTCACGACATCATTCTTTTTGATCAGAATAACCTATGACTATAACTTGTCAAAAGTACGTCTTTTTTATTAAGACATAAACCATGCAATTCATATGGTGGCATTAGTAAATGACTGAATGAGTGAACAGGTGAGATTTTATTTTGCTCTTGACTAATGCTGAATTCTTAGAGTGAAAAAAATAATTTCACCACCAAGGCAAAGCCGATTTTGATTTTTCTGGCTTTCAGACAGGGAACAGTCAGACGTGTTGATGTCTAAAGGCGAAGTGACGATACTGCAGAGTAAAGCCTTATAAAGTGTTATAAGTAATTCGGCGCTGTTGCCTTGGCAACCTTTCCCGCACGGAGCTTCAAGTAACTGAGGGAGACCACTTCCATTGAATAGAAAATAATTATTTAAAAAATACACTGGCATGCATACGTCTAAATGTCTTCGTGTAGCAGAGTCTGTAAAAGGAATAAAGCATGTTCTGGGTAATCCGGCACCACAGACCCGTCGCGATCACGTGTTACGGACGTTATGGGAAAGGAACCCCGGAGATACCCGGGGGTCTTCACATAATGACGTACTTATTTTAGTCTCACCCACAATGCACTGCGGTTGCTTGAACAAAGAATGAGCATTTTCAACGAACACCCTAACAAGTTTTAAAAAGGAATGATCTGGATTCATTAATTGATTAAGAATATTTTATGTAAAATTAAAGTTTGTGCCAATATGTAGATAGACATAATATACCAGTATCTGGCGTTATATCACTGAGACTAAGAACAGCGTGCTCTGCTAAACGTATGTACCTTGTCCACGTCAGCTGTGCATCAGCTGGGTGGAAGCACGAAGAGATCGAGAATTGAGAATTAATTACTGTCATAACTAGATCGTGGTATATAATTGTGACATTTTGCTCGTCATGTGTTAATAAAATGACGAGGAACAGCGTAGCCGGTTGAGAACTTAGGTAAGGGACAGTTTGGAATATTGAAGGCTTTCTAATCTGTGCGACTGTGACAGTAGGCAGCTGCCATACGAGTAGCATTAGGAAATAAATACTGTATACTGCGTGTCATAGGCTTTGCGATCAAACTGTTAACTATAATATTTTTTATCTGAACGGAACGAATTTTCCGGCGTCCCTGGGATTGTTGTTTTGTTACTGGCTGTAGGTTACACAGCATAGTAATAAAGAATAAAGTGCCGCAGTACAATGAGCTCGGAGGATCAATCAGCCGCTGGCAACAAAGCCATGGACACAGACAACGACGGCATGTCCTGGTGGTATAGATGGATGTGCAAGATTGCGGGGGTCCTCGGCGGTGTATGTGAGTATGGCGTCGCTGTGGCACTGCCGTTATTTGCAATGCCGTATATAAACTGATATGTTCTCACTTACGTGACAAAGCACTGCTTGTTCTTTTTAAACCAAATAATAATTATGCTAAATGCACAAAAAGCTGTTTACTGAAGCTTGACACCGTCATTTCTTGAATACGTTTTTGGTATATCACTATATGAAAATTATATGTACTCCTTTTGAGAGCTGTAATTTAGTTCAGAGGCTTACTGCATTGTCTCTTAAAGGCAGAATGATTGTTTGTTTCTTTGTTTTCGTTTTACAACGAATGAATTGTACTGTTAAACTCATGTGATAGGCGTAACTGGAGATGTGTTTAGAATGAAAGTTTTTAATTAAATGTACTTTGGACAAAACAGTGACATCTCTAATCTGTAAAGATTTTGGCATCGAGAAGTTGTAAAATTGCATAAACGAAACTGTAGATTTGCACGCATTAAATAAGTTAATCAGGTTTTCTGCGCCCCTGAAGTTAAAGTAATCGAAAGACATTTTGTAATAAAAGTACTGTTACATGTATGTATTTAGACAGCAGACTGACCAATCTCTGTGCTTTAAATAAAAACACGACAAGGTTATCAAAACGTTACAGAAATCCACTTTATAATTTAGAGTTTTGTTAATTCTTTCATCTACTCTGACCCTCCTGTGAGTTCTTCACTGGTATCACAGAAGGTAATGTCCCTTCCATTCCATTCATATTTGCCCTGGTAACGACAGTAGCCATGCTCCAGGGGAAGGTTAGTTCTGGCACCAGAAAGCTTAAACCGGTGTCTAATTTCATTAAATCCTTATGATAGAATTTGAACAATCTGCACATGCTTTGACAAGAACTTGTCAAAATCTATGCAGTTTAGGCATCTCCTTTTCATAGAGTAGACAGAAACTTCCTGTAAAACTGTTCAGTTATATGTATTCACACTGGATAATTTAGCTGAGCAGTTATGACACCTGGATCAATGGTTACAACTGCAGGAATCATTTTGGGATGTGAACTAGCAGCATTTATATTATGTGTATCATTAACCATCATGCTGTTTGCAAGATTTAAGTCGGGTCAAAGAGGATTTATAAATCACTGCTTTTATTTTAACAATTTTTTACAATTCTTTTCAGACTTGTCTCAATGCCATTTCGCCTTTTTCAAAATGCTTAGTCTACTGATATGGTGCATATATTATGTGAACTAAACTGAGTATAGTTTTGCATTGCTTTGATACAAAATGCATTCAATCACCACTTCATGAATACCTCCCTCAATCAATGTTCAACACCAGCGAAATTCTGTACAACTACAAGATATTATAGTATTATTCTACTACTTATGTATTAATTACCCACAAACTAAGTCTTAGCTACATACTGGTCTCATGTTTGTTCATCATTAATGAATCATGATGCATCTTTTATCTCAACTAGAGACTATATTTGTTCATGATTTGTACTTCAGTAGTAACTGAGTTCTTACTATTTGTGTCCCATCAAGTAAAGTGTTACCAATAAAATGTTGATTGTTACTGAAGAGATTTTTTTTTCACTGTTACTGTTGTATATGTTTTATTTTGCATTGCAACACTAAACTGCAAAAATAGAGGACAGAAATGTATGTATTTTGCAACGCTTCAGTTTGTGTTTTTTAGTCGATGATACAATGAATGACACAGTAGTCTTATGTGAGTGAGCATATGCTATAGTTATGGCAGCATCAATCACGTTTGGGTGAAGTATGAAGTGTTTGGTTGGCTGAAGTGCATTTTGCACCAATGGTTGACTGGTGTGCTCAGGTGTGTTTTGTGAATCATACTGTGTGAAGAGTTATGATAAAGTGGACAGGATATTGAGACAAGTGTGAAAATGATTATAAAAAACTATTTAATTTTACATACTATCCAAAGTTTTTTGGAATTGAGGTTTTTAAATGCTGATATGAGAAGACAACATGCAGCTTTTTGGGTTGTCGGTCAGGTACAAATTCTATTTCAGCAATACTGAATTTCTCAAAATAATGCACTTCCATTACAAGATGGGTTTTGCTGAGTACAGCCTTGTTGTTGCTGCCAAACATCTGCGTATTATTTTTATAGCCAAATAGACTTGTCTTGTTGATCATAAGATGAGCACTGTTTGCTTTATCACATTTTACCTGGAAATCACTTAACTGGATTATTGACAATATTGTCATGTCTCCCCCCCCCCCCCCACCCCGACAGCCTGTGCTATTACTGGAATATGGAGCTGTGTCTCTATCAACCCCTTCAGCATCGCAGCAGGCGCGTGGATGATGTAAGTACAGATCCTGCACTCTCAGTACAAACATACATTACCACTGATGCAAAGCTAATGCTATACTACTGTAATGGTGTCAAACTGAGAAAGCACTCAAATCATTTTATATTAGTGCAATTACCATGATACCTTGACTTCTATAAATAAATGGGTTATATATATATATATACTAAAAGATGTAGCATATTCTATACTAAGTAAATTCATATGCAAGATTTGCCTACTGATATATACATTCACACTCATTCAGTTAATGAAAATTTATAGGAAGTGTGGGGAGTTTCAGATCACACCCCTGGATACTGCCAGGTGTCGGGGATGCGCTCCACCTTTCACTCGTGAACCCCCACTGAACCCCCACTGAACCCCCACTGAATCCCCAGTGAACCCCCATTGAACCCCCATTGAACCCCCATTGAACCCCCAGGGTGCCCTCAGCGCTGGCAGTGATGTAATGGTTCCCTTTCTGCTCCCCAGCCTGAATGCCTGTGTGCTGTTCCTGTGTGAGGTCCCCTTCTGCTGTCAGTTTATCGAGTTTGCCAACGCGGTGGCAGCCCGTGCCGACAAGCTCAAGCCCTGGCAGAAAGCTTTCTTCTACTGCGGGTGAGGCTACGGCTGTTTTTGTAGACATTTCCATGTTTGTGCTTAACTGTCATTTACCTATATATTCAGTACGTGTTTGTGTGTGCGTGTGCGAGAGAGAGAGAGAGAGAGTGAGAGTGAGTATATATGTAAGGTATGTGTCATTTACCCGAGAGGTGGGAGGGAGCAAAAATGTGGACTTTCTGGCTGGGAGCTGGGAGGGAGCAAAAATGTGGACTTTCTGGCTGGGAGCTGGGAGGGAACAAAAATGTGGACTGTCTGGCATAGAACTTGAATGGAGCAAAAAAATGGACTGTCTGCGGGTCCCCATGGACCAGGTTGGGAAGCATTGATTTACAGACTATTTTGGACTATTGGAGGAACAGTTCAGATTAAGTAACTTCTTAAGCCTACAGAGTAACCCTTTATGATGACTCAGACAAGGGGTTTTTATATATTTTGGGTCTCTGCAGGTGTGTTGTTTTTTGACATCATGGTCATAATGCCAGTGATTCACTCATCATTCAGGCTAACGTTTACTGTTGTGTCTGGATAGGATGGCACTTTTCCCTGTCTTTCTGAGGCTGTCCCTTACTACGCTGTTCGGAAATGCAATTGCCTTTGCAACAGGGGTCCTATACGGATTGGCTTCGCTGGGCAAGAAGTAAGATTTTTATCACACTTTTTTTTTTGTCAGAAAAAAGATAAATGATTTGTAATTACAAACGTTGCCTGATAATTTTACAGCGGAGTGTGTTTTGAATTCCAACACCTAATTTGTGTTCTGTATGGATCTTTATAAAAGAATGTTGCCTCAAGTAAGATTTATTCTAAAAAAGAATTGTAATTTGTAAGAATCTAAGGTATCTATTAAATTTGTTTAGCTACAGTTTTCTGTTAAACTAGTAAAACATTAATATTTTGTCATATTTTGGTAAAATCTCTGAGTAACGACAATTTACAGCCATACTAGAGTGGCGATAGTGGGAATCAATATTAGCTGTTCATGCCATCATTTTCTTTTCCTTTCCTTTTTTCCTTTCCTTAACACCTCCTCCAGGGGGGACGGTGTGGGCTACGCCCGCCTCCAGCACCAAAAGCAGGGTGACGAGGAGAAGCTGACAGGCACCACTAGCTGGGAGGCCCAGTAACTTTTCCCACCCAAAATCCAGAACCGAAATGCACCTTCTCTTCTCTTTCAGCTGCTGATCATAGTTACCTGTTTTATGGAATCACATGGATTATGTTCTCTATGTCGGTTTTATTATATTATTTTAAATTATTTTCCAAAATAGTTTTGTCTTTTCCCGAAATGTTATCAAATGTGAAAACTTGTCTTTAAGTTTTTTTTTTCTTTAATTTTGTGAGTGGTCAGGTATACTGTGATTTTATCCAAAGACACTGAAAATAATAGAATAGAAAGAAAAGATTAATAAGAAAATGCAAGAAATATTTTGATAGTAATTGAATATTGAGGATGTTAATCACAGTAATCGTTCATAACCCTAGCAACATTTTCAGTTGTCGGTACTAGAAAAGTTTCCCATTGGACCCACTCTGTTGGGGATTGATTTGAAAAAGTGCATGTACAGTTAGTTAAATGCTTATTTATCACCAGAATACTAACTGCTATAACATCTCATTCTAATGATGTCTGAATGCATGAATAAGTGATTTCTAAGTATGGAACTTTTTCAGTGTTTTTGCTTGATAACGTGACTGAACAGCCAGTGGTAAAGTCCAGTGTGTTGTTAGAACTAACAGCTGGATGACATCACTGGCCATTCTACTCTTTAATCTCAAAGTGCTCATTGGTTTTTAATTATTCTTTGCTTGAGTAAACCACTGGGATTGTGTCTGCTTAAGCCAGATGTGGCACAACTTTTTAAAATCAATTCAGGGAATCTTGTGTGTTTGTGTGTAGTGTTTCTTCAATAAAATGCCGCGTCCATTTAGTGGGAAAGCACTGGACAAACATTCACTACTGTAAAAGACGCAGCTGTGATTTAATATTTTCAGATACTGTTCTTATTGCCAGATTTGCCCCAGTTTGCTCCATGTCAATGTACACAATCTAGTCCTAGTATGAAGAACACATTCAATACAAAAGACTGAAAAGTTCATCTTAACCAATGTCTTCAAGTCATGCAGGTGTTTCCAGACTTTTCACTGTATTAAACATTATTCATTCTTTGCATGCTATTTGTAGGTGTTTATACATTTTACAGCGATATTTGGAAGTTTAAACAATAATATATGCAAAAATATGCAAAAACTGCTTAATCATGGACAAATGAACATTCCACTAAATGTTATTTGTAACAGCAAAGCCTCATCATTGAGGACGTGGAACGATCAGCTGATTTGTCACGGACTGATGAATATATCCTGAATATCTGCATTTGCCTGTTAAATTACGCAGCTGTTCTGTTGTGACCATCACTTCAACAAATGCTTTAAATGCAGCGTGTAGCTGCTTTTTCTAGAATTTCACACAGGAGTTTACTTAATCATTCAAACGAAGCACATTTAAGACATTGATGGCATATTTATCATCATCATAATCATGGGGACCCAGCTACCTACCCTGGAGGATGGTAACTTTACACACAACCCATCACACCCTTCTTAACCAGGTCCATTACCAAACTGAACCAGGTAGTAAGACTATCCCACCAGTTTGCTATATTTCTGATTTAGTTTCATGTTGCTGTGCAACATCATCATACCTGATAAGAGGAAGCAGGAAAAATGGGCAAGGCTGAGGATCTGAGCGACTCTGACAAGGGCCAAATTGTGATGGCCAGACAACTGGATCAGCGCCTCCAAATCAGCAGGTCTTGTGGGTCAGCTCTTGTGGGGTGTTCCCAGTATGCAGTGGTCAGTACCTACCAAAAGTGGTCCAAGGAACAGCTGGTGAACTGGCAACGGGGACATGAGTGTGCAAGGCTCGATGCACGAGGAGCGAAGGCTAGCCTGTCTCATCCAACTCTCTGGTACTAGTTAATGGTTAAGTTTGGTGTTAATGAGATGCTCTATGGACGGCATGGTGGGGCAGTGGTTAGCACTGTTGCCTCATACCTCTTGGACCTGGGGTCAAGTCTCTGCCAGGATTCTGGATGTTCTCCCCATGTTTTTGTAATAACTGGAGTTGCCAAACTGTCTGTAGGTGTGGATGGCATTTGTATAGACCCTGCGATGGGCTGGCACTACATCCGGGGTCGTCTGTGTGCTTTTGCCATGCATTTGAATGACTAATTCCACACAAGAATTTCCCCTTGGCGATAAAGGACTCTGAATTTGAATCTGAATTAAAATTTCATACACATCTGGGTTGACAGAAATGTCTATGGCAGTCAGAATGGTTCCACTTGCCCTCTGCTACAGGTTTCTGAGCACTCTCCTTCACCAAGCCACCAAACAAGGAGCCATGACTTTTCACCTCGTCACCGTTCCTCAAGTTAAAATTTATTGATACTAATTTATTAATACAAAACTACTGAAATATCTGCACAAATTTCCAAAAAACTGCTTTCTGAAAGCTTGCATATTTCAGGTAGGGACAAGTCTGAATTGGCAATCTGGTACCATGACAGATATTCAGGGATTGTGTTTCTACGATCAAAGAAACCAAATTATGTGGAAACACTCTTCAGAAAATGAACATAGTTCCAGGCTCCAGGTTGGAGTTTGTGAGAGTTTTTAGGCATTTTTTTTCTTAGTAGAAGGTCTTGGTGTTCTCTTACACTTGTCCACAGCGCCGTTTCTGTATCCTTCCTTTATCGATAATTCCCACTGCTTCTTCACTAACGTATAGAGTCGCATCGTCGCCTGGGCATCTTGTACCTGCAACATGTGGCACAGGGTTTCAGAACACAGAACGCATGCTCCACTCTCTCAAGAAAGTAAAAATGTGCAAAAGTTCTTACAGAAGAGTGTTCACCCTGTTGAACTTTGACATTGAGTATCTTCTCACAGAGAAGCTTAAGTGAGGGACGACCACTCTGTAGGATGAGAGAAAAAAAAGATGTTAGATCTATTTGACAAATGAATCGTTTATTCCCCCCTCTTCCTCATGCCCTTCTCCTGGTACAACCTTCACGATAGACTTGAACGGCTTGTACTTCTGCGTGTCCCTGATTCTCTTTTTGGGGTGATCCAGAAGCAAGATCTGCCAGAGAAAGACAGTGACTCCCATAAATTGTTTAAGATTATTGTATTCTTGCACAAACACTAACAATAACAGCAGTATACCTTGAGGTCATTATGAATGGCGTGGCCCACGAGAATTCTTCCCTCTAAAACCTCTAAAACTTCTTTCTGAACAGTTTTGACATCTTCCCCTGTAATTCATAAAAAAAAAAAGAGACAAAATTATTTTTTGTGCACTGTAGTTCTGTTCCACACAGAAATTACTCTCATACAAGTAATTCTTTAATAGATAACCGTTTGCACATTCTCCCATTGCTCACCATTCTTTATATCCTGCGGACGAATACCACTAACGTGTGTTCTGTAGTCGGTCACTCGTTCGGTGGGCTTGACGTATTTGTCATAAACACACTTCCCGAACTGATTCACCATTGAGACTCTGGCTACTATGCTGTCCTGCCCTTCAGGCCCAACTCCAACCATCTCACAGTCCATGGCCACCGCTTTTGTCAGCCTTCATAAACAGAATTTAAAAAAAATTGTCAATATCTATACATCTCCCTTACTAAAACAGACAAGTAATGTTGCATATACTAGTTCCAAGTCAGAAGTAAAATACATGTATTATTTTTTTAATATACATTACAGAATTCCTAAAAGAACAGGGGAAATATTTAGGCATTTCAGTTTTTAATGTCATTTAACGCTTGTTTTGTACTTTCATGGGCATGAGATTCCAGTCCATCACAGGGTACACACTCTTGGCAATTTAAGGCTGATTTATACTTCGGTACAAAATCTACAGCATCGGTACAGCATAGGTATGCGTAGCTGTATACCCTACCCTGTACCCTACACCATAAGTAGCCGCACAGCCACATACCCTATCCCATACCTTACGCAGTACCATAGGCCTAGGTAACCCCATATCCTACGCAGTACTCTACCCAATACCCTATGCCGTAGTCTGACACGCACCTTCTCAGAAATGTAACGAAGAATAGGTCATGTGACTGGCTACAATCTGGGCAGATTCTACACAGAATAAATCAGCTTTTACAGTAACCAATGCACCTATTACTATTACAGTATTAATATAGGTGACACTTACCCGTCAAAAGCCCTGCATTTTACAAGACTGCTTTCTATAGACTTCTGATCTGTCCTCCTCGATCTTTGCCGGCTGCGAACTATATCAGCAGCACCTGTTCCCACAGCAGCCTCAATATCATCTGGATCTACGTCATCAAACCAGATGTCATCTCTGAGCAAATGTCATGAAAATAAGAAGACATATGTGGTTGCAATTAGTTTCAATGCTAAAATACACACTTTTAACAAATGGATGCAAGGAAATGCACATCTTCAAATTAATGCATGTTGCTTGTACAATAAATGAAAGGCAACTGACAGTCTAGCAGTACCATTACACCATCCGTTCATTAGTTGGCAAGTCCAAAGGTATCTGACTGATTAGCATTTATATCCAAAATGCACCACAGTCATCATAAAAACGATACTACTTGACCCATACTCTGTTAGCTTCTTCTCGGCTTCCTGATGAAATCTCTTATTTTTGTTTTGCTGTCTGTTATTGTATATGGGTGTCTGTCCATTGATGCTTTTCCTTTTCCGTGTGTTCGACTGTTCAGATTGAACAAATAATTTGTCATTTTTGGTCGATGCAGGAAGCAATCCATCTTTTGCTGTTTGCTGTTTCCCATTCTTCGTTTCCTTTATTAATTGAGCACTGGTTCCCTTCGCTGGAATGTCTTTTATGGGCTTCCCTTCAACTTTGCTTTCATTTGAAATCGAGCTCCCGTCTTGCCGTTTAAATTCCTGTTCTTGCACCTTTGTGTTCAATTTTAATACCTGTAAATCACAGTAAAAATGTAAACAGCTGGACAGAGACAATAAGAACAATGCATACAGAACTGAGCTGAAGATTTACTTATTGGTGTCGAATCGGGATGGTACAGTATACGGGATGGTATTTTTACCTCTTGTAGGTTCTTCCAGTTTGTCGAAAATTGCTGGGAATCTTTCGGTGGAAGTAGAGCGTTGCTCTTAATTTTCACGTCTTCTACGGCATTTTTCACAGCCTTTCCCTCGTATTTTTTCCTCTTCGCCTTTTTATGCTTTTTTGCCGAAAGTGGCATTGTCGTAGAAATCGTAGTACAATTCTTTTTTTTCACCTTCACCTTGGACATTGCTTCTAAAATATGTATGTTTTAGATGTGCAACAGCCTAGAATTTTCGCTAACAGTACAAAATCAAGCCCTTTCTTGAGGTTCGAGAGAACATTAGAATGTTAGCAGACTTAACCGAAATTTCGTGATGACATATTTACAATAAACCACTTTAACTGTTAATACTAAGTTAAATTTTAACTTTTTTTACTGTAACACAATATCGTTTCAATATGACATCTTCTCCGGAGAGCCCGAAATATTAATTACCTGTACAGTATTAAAATCTACTCAAGATGCTTCACTCGCGTACTTCTTCCAAAACGCACATGTGAGCTGAAGTACATCCGTGTGGTGCAGCGTTTAAAAGGTTCCCACAGGAAACATTTTACGGTACTGAAATAATGCGTGTGAACGCTTTTTAAATAGTAATGATATTTCTATTACTTATCCTGAGAAGACGGGTAGTAATTATAGTGAAATCGTATGCGCTAGGCAAGAGACTGACATATTGGTCTATTAATCTTCAAACCTCTGGGAGGAAAATATTAACATCACCACCATCACTACTACTACTACCACTAATAATAGGCCTAATAATAATAATAAATAGGTGAACTGTGAGTCCGTGGATTGCACAGAGCGTGTACCTTGTGTAGAACTGTTATCCCGTGCTCATAAAAATGTAAACAAGAATTAAATCAATTTAGCTGAAATTAAGGTCTTAAACTGTATTTTAAAACGATAAAATATTACCTAAATCTTTTTTTTAGCAATTTTGCAATATTGTACAGATTACCTGGCCGGAAAATGAATATTTGCAGAGAAATTTATTTTCTGTTCTATTCAAACTTGCCAGTACAGTATATTTGAATATACGAATACGAATATTTTTGAAGTTATATGTCTCATTAATTTCACTAGCGGTGTATGTTTTCTAGCTCATATATTAGAGACCATGCATTTTTATGTTTCTCTTTTTAACTACCTACCTTAGTCATGGCTTGCACCATAGCACTGAAAACTAAAACTGAAATCAAATGAAAAGTCAACTAGAAGTAATAATTTTCTCGGGAAACATAAAAAAAATAAAAATACTAATGCATTCTTAAAACCAAATGACTAATTAAAAATAAAAAAACGAATGAAAATAAAATTATTTGAAAACCATACTAATATAATAATGAAAAAGGAGAAGTATTTCAACATTAATGTGTGTGGGTGTGTGCATATGTAGCCTATGTGGCCTGCGATGGACTGACATCCTGTTCAGAGTGTATACCACGCCCTTATTCCCTGTGCTGCCTGCCAGACTCCTAACCGACTGAACTACACACCAGCCACTTGTATTGCCATTATAGTACATGCATAATACATGTAGGCCATCAATCTTTCCAAGCCCTTTAGCATTCTTGAGCTCATTATTATTATGGGCTGCTGATTCAGATTAATCGAATGCTGTGGCAGAGCATGACCACCAGATGGGACTAGATAACGCCTCAAGAATATTACGGTAAACGGTAAATAATGTAAAATTATCATTTGATATTTTCCTGCAGTTTTACAAGGTTTTAATCATCCATCCATCTTACAACCTTAAGCTTAGTCAAGGTCACGGCGGTGGTGGTGGGTGGTATTTTAGGGGGTCTGGAGTCTATATACTCAAACACAGAGCTAAGGCTGGGGTATAGATTATAGGATATAGGACACTACCAGAGACGGATTAATTGATGGGCCCTAAGTTTACATCAGCATTGACACTCAGGTTTTGTGTAACCAGCCGTCCCATTTTTACCAAGGCGGGGTGGGGGCCCATGGCGCAGCATAGCCTATGCATTCATCCACCCCTGGATGCCAGTCCATCACAGCACATACACAGAAGTCTGCCAAATCTCACGCATCTGGCATGACACCCACGCTTTCTGACTCTCACGTCTTCCATTATAAACCTAAAACTAGCTACATCAAAAGCAAACCCCACAGACTATTTATAAGGTGTTACAGGTATGTAAATGTGTGTTCATGAGTGTGCGGACTTATCTCGAACCGCAAATCTCACGCCAGGCTGCTGACCAAAGTTGGCAGCCCTGTACTCACACACAATCACACCCTATGAGCACATCAAAACATACGAAACAAATTGATTTCTTCTTAATTAAAAACGTGTAATAGAATTTGAAATGACTAATTTTGTCAAACTATGCCCTCATATAACATGGATGCTATTGCTTAGTTTACACTTAGCAGTCACCGGCAGCCTACATTAATCAAGCTAACCGTGCCTAATGGTATTCGTGTCCTACTTAGGACGAAACCATTCAAATAAAAGGAAAAACAAAAACCCACAATTTTGGAGTCATACATATCGATGTGTAAACTGGCACAGCAGAACACACTTTTTGAACAGTAATCGCCACTGGCCTCTCGGCTTTCTACTGCTGCGGGAGCGCGCATGTGCAGCTGTCAGATGCTAGAAGCGCGTACCCGCGCCGCGCTCAGAAGATTATGCTGCTGCTCCTGGCCATTTTGTAGAGCACAGAATGAGGGGGTGAAGGACCTACACACAGAAGCAAGATAATAGGGAGAAACGTTTGCGAGCGTACAAAAAAATTCAACACAGATCGGCGGCTGTCCTGAAACACTCGTGCACACAGTGGATTATTACCAGGAAATTGCTTTGAAACCATGAGCTGGGGGATAGAGCTATGGGTAAGTCAAGTATATATGATGTGAGTTTTGTATTCATTTTTAGGACATGGCAGATTCACAGTATTATTGACCGATTCCTTGTTGAGGGATTGTAACTGAACTCTTTGCTTATCAAAATCGATTTGCCAAATATGGGGACATAGGTTTTTCAGGGGTGGCTACAAGTGAGTGGAAGGCAGCCTCTAATCACGTAGCCGTGGACGGATGAAGGCAGACACTTACTCGCAACCTCATCTTTAACGTGCCTGTCATGATAAACAGGCAAATGCGGCTCTTTATACGCGCGGAATCGCGTCTGACCGAGATGCACGACTCACCCAAACTTTTATCAATCATTATTATTTGCAAAATTCATTTTGATTTCAGCACAGTCCTGCATATCTCTTGCTCTTGGATTCCAAGCGTTATAACACTAAGCATCTATTTCCTGTTATTTTCTGAGAAATGTGAGTTGTACTGAAAACCAAACAGCTGGGCAATCGTAAATACGATGTGGTTTATAAGGCGGTAATCGATATTTTTTAATGGCATGACCAAAGTCACTAAGTACTATCCTGGTCTCATTCATTGTATTAAGGTGATACTCAGGCACCTCTCGTTTTTCGTTAAATGTAGCCGAATACCTTTCGGAGGAACTGCGAAATTATTGCGTTTTATAGATAATCTGAAAATAAACGACAGTAGGCTAAAATAATTATTAAACAAAAGAATAACCATATAGAAACGAAACAAAATTGTAGACGAAACTTATAAACTAGTAATGTCATGTCATCTAGCACTTAACTGGGAGTTGTACTACTTTTTCATAATATATCAAATGTTACACGTAGCAAATACTAGGGAGACTACTTTATCTCTTTAGTATTTGCTAAGTGCATCATTTCATATAATATTATTACTCGTAATTTATAAAATTATTTATGATCGACTGATTATATTGAAAATGAATCCCATACTTCAACGGAAACAGTTCTGTACCATAGGTCATATATGGGCTATAGAATAACATTTAAATGGGGCATCAATCTGAAAATCTAAAGTAATTGTAATTTTTAAAAGAAACGAATCCATGATAAACGTTCGAGCTGGAGGAGAAGCATCTTAGTCATGAAGCATCGCAGCCTGACCGGCACCATAGATGGCAAAAGCCAGTCCGCCCTCAAAGCACCCAGATTAGTCTGCAAGGTTGATTCAGCGTGGTGTTGTCAAATTAATCATATTAAAACCACTTGTGTCCAGCATTCATCTTTCCGAAGCCTTTAATTCAGCCAGAACATTCCGAAATTTGGTGCTACGTGTTTGTGCTTAGCGTTAAAATCAAAGGGATTATCGTCACATGCTGTATGCAGGCTCGGTCACTTATTTCTGAGGTGGATTAGTTTGACTTTGGGTCTCATTTCTAATCTTCAGAATTTCTGAGAATGTTTAATTTTGAGATTATATCGGTTTTGCTGAATAAGGCGACACCGACAAGCGAGCTCTCCCATCGCCAAACCCCCTAAGGACGGCTTGCAAACTGCGGAGCGCTGACTTTTCTACACTTTATTTGGACATAATGTTATTGTTTAGCACAATGTTGTTGTTTAGCCTCATATTCACAGTGTTCTTATTTCGTGGTGTTTTTACAGAATACGTGTATGTTAAAGTCCGCTGTGAGACAGTTTAATCTGGTGGGGTAAAATTCCTGAGCGTGTACTCACATATATCCCCAGACGTGTCTTAAACTTCGGCATGGGGAGTGTAAGATTAAAGGACTGCAGTTTCTATTTTTACTAATAAGAAGTGAAGGCCAATAAAAATGTCTTATAAAATTAGCATGTCCAGTTCATGCACAAATGTATCCAGCTAAATGCTTATTGCAATAGCAAATTAACTCCAGGAATTTCTACATCTTATCCTCCTGGTGATTTTCTTTGGACAGCCTTTCATGCGCGGTTTGGATTCTGCTATCACATGAAGACACAGCTAGTCAACAGTCAATGTGCGAGACATACAAGGCACTCGAAATAATAGCAAGAGAGCAAGTACTGTAAGATGGGAAATGATTAGTTGTTCTAAGTAACAGTTACTGACTGTAACAGCTCATGTGCTGCAGTGCTGGGCCCAGTCCAGCCATTTCCACAGCCATCTACATGTGTGGAGGGGGTTCCGCTAATTCTCGCTTTTTAGAGCTGAGAGCAATTTCCAGCAGATGGGATAGTGGCCATCTTTGAGCGACTCCACAGGGAGAATCTGTACCTTCATGGAAACCAGCTGCTGGACAGTGTGGTACAGAGAGGCCCCCAGAAGGGTGACAGGCTTATCTCCTTGGCTTTTGACACCATGGCTGCACTTCCGCTTCATGCAGATGGCTCAACTTTTGTTTCTTTTTTCTTTTTTTGTAACATTTACCTTCAGAGTGTAAACCATTAGTTCAGGCAGAGAATTGCAATTTTATGGGTGTTGACACCCACTTTTTAAACCCGGATCTATGTTGTGAGGTTTAGGAAGGACACTGGATGTCTTTTGCTTGTTGCTAGGCAACGCAGGTTTTCTATTCATTCAGCCTCATTATTATTATTATTATTATTATTATTATTATTATTATTATTATCCATCCATTTTCGCTTATTTGGTACAGAGTCACTGATACTTTAACATAGGAGCTGCAAGGCAGGGGACACCCCAGACCACATCCAATTCCCTCACAGGCATGTACACAGACACACAATTTGCAGCCAACATTTCATGTTTCACCTGTCGGAAAATAAACACCCCAGACAATGAACAGGGGCCTGTACTACGAAGCGGGGTTACTGGCTTATCGGGGTAACTTGTCAGATTTCAGGTAGTCTGGGCAAAATGTAAGTGAACGAATATGAAGTCCATTTAAACTGTGGTACCTTAAATCCGACAAGTTACCCCAATAAGCCAGTAACCCCGCTTCGTAGTACAGGCCCCAGGAGTGGGACTCAAATTAGTGACACTGGATGGCTGAGCCAACAGTAGCACTGCCCACGTAGCCGCCCCTAATTCAGAATGACATAAACATACATACATCTTCTGTGACCACTTGTTCTGTTCTGGGTCAACTGCGGGTTCAGAGCCTATGGGCACAAGGCAGGGAACAACACAGGGTGAGGTGCCAACCCATCACGCTCATTACTGACTTACACACCTGTCAGCAGTTCGGTAACTCGAATTAATCTCAGCCTGTTTTTGGTTCCTGGAGGGTATTCAAAGGAAACCTCCTGATGACAGGGAGCCATGATACTCGAACCCTGTTCCCAGAGGTGTGAGGTAACAGTGCTAACTGCTGCCCCACCATGCCCCTCCCTGACATAAGCACCAGATACTTAAAGAATGTAAATTGTTCTCAGTGTCTTTGAAGCCACAACTACTTTTGAAACCTTTCAGAGTACTATTTTGTTTGATTTGTTGTGATAATTGTTCAGTGATGACAGAAAGACACATAAATAACATTGACCATGACAACTCCTTCAGAAACCTCTTCAGGTAATCCAAGTAGCCTTCTTTTATTCCAACATTTGAGACCCTCGAATTCACCAAACATGGTTTAATTGCTCCTTCCAGATCAGAGAGTGTGTGGCTGTGGCTTATAGAACTGCATTGTCATAGCTAAGCGAAAAAGAAAATAAAATAAAAAGGAAAATATACCATCCATTTTCTGATCACTTATCCAGATCACGGTTACTGGAAGCCCAGAGCCTATTTAGGAAGCACGAGATAGAAAGCAGAGGAATATGCTGGATGGAATGACGGAGGGCAGTTTATCACAATGGATGGTATTCAGTGTAAACAAGCTAGCCACACATGCCAGGTGGCTTAAGAAGCTCCTATCATTTTCATGTGGTGTTTGCAATATGAGTGGCTTTTTAATATAGGATTAAAAATCCTAACTGGACATGTATTCTGAGAACTTCCTGTTACAATTTTGTTGCAAGAAACAAACTCTATTTGGTGTTGATTACAACCTGGTGGAACAGATTTGTATTTTTTTTGATAATACGTGATCTCCCACTAAATGTCCGTGCTATGCATTTCAGTCTTGCTGTCTAGCTTATAAGCGAGCACGAATTTCAGTTTGCTATGCATATCGTAATGTTGGGTTTTCCTCTCCAGCCTTGTGCATCATAACTTGTGTAGCATGCTTTTTGATGAACTTAAAACATGCTTGTATAACAAATCATGTTACCTTTGGTTAAGTCAATAACTGCGATGACTTCATGTCGGCATTATATCTGCAGTGGGTGTAAAGGTGTACAAGCCCCACACAAGTCACCCCTCTCACACACAGCAGTGTCAACGCTCCTCGTTCATCCACTGTGCATCCCAGGCCATCGTGGGTGTGTGTGTGTGTTTGCACCAGGCCTCATTTACAGTGTGAAAAGACATCAGGACTGTGTGAGCACAGGTGCTGAATGAACTGTTTTTTTTAGCTATATAAATGTGACATGTGTAAGATGTCTGCTGTTACATGATCCAACTGTTGATTTACTGATGCGATTTAACAAAACTGGCTTTCTGTGGGTGTGACTTGTGCAGAGATATTCATCTCCAGCAGAGCTTCCCCTTTGACAGAAGTGACCATAAATTGGCCAGAATACTGCAGCAAAGTCTTTAATGGTCCACGGTCCCTGAACAGACAGGCTGCAGAGCGGATGTCCTCTTTCAACTCTTCACTTTTTATAACCTCACGACTTCTGAATGTACATGCACCTTCCTGCTCTTATGGTGTTAAGTTTATAGCAGAACCCCCCCCCCCCACACACACACACACACACGTGCACACGCACACGCACGTACACTCACACACACCCATGCCCTGCTGCATGGATCCTCTACAGCCGCTGATCGCTTGACTCTGAGGAAAATGCTGAGCTCTGCATCGAGGGAGATATCTGACAAAACGTGAGAGCTGGAGATTCACTCCGCTGAAGATGCTCAGAATGATTTTAGGATGTCAGTCACCGGTGGTTTGTCATTTTGTCGAAATGTTA